CAGTCCAACATAGAGTTTGATGTGTCTGACCAGCATCAGGCGAAGTTGGCCTGCTTTGCTTTGATCCAGAGAATGAGCTGTTAATGATCAGTAGAGTTGTGTTTAACAGCTTTGGTCTTTCATGGGCTGTAACTCGGGGAGCACGACCCCATGTGAACACATCACCTGACGTGTGTGAGTTTATGAATGTGTGTCGGTGACTCTGGTCAGTGAGAGACTGATGGTGGGGGGTGACATGAGCATCACACCTGTACCTGTTCGCTCATTTATTCTTTGTAGCTGCTTCTCATGAATATGTAATAAAGGAATTCAGTGAAAAGTCTTTGTCGATTTGCACTCAGGTTGTTGCTTCACTGAAATAATGGCTCATTTTCAAAGTAAAGCTTATGATATAACTGGACTCTAGGAGATTTCAACACGTGATCAGTCTGAACACTTCCCAATACTTCAGCAATATGTGAGTTGCCTGACTAACTCCAATCTTGGACTGAAAATTATTTTTGAAATTTGTTTTTTTAATAAAAATATTAAATATGAAACCTATTCAAACCCAATATAAAAAGGGTTTACCCTCTATGGGACATGTGGACAAGCATTTTAGATGAGATCATAGGAATTATGAGCTATTAAAATGTTTAATATTTCAAATAAAATATTGTTGATCAATATGTCTAGTATCAGTATCCAATAAAAAGGAGTGTACACTGTTCAGAACATAGTGAAGCATTTTGCTATAGCTTTTGAATCCACAGGTCACATTACTTGAGAAAAAATCAATTAAAATTTATGATAAAGTTCTAATAATCACTTATTGACAAAAACTTTCTTTACTACTATTTCTTAAAATACTATTTATTAATGAAAAATTGTTAAAATCATGAAACTTTTGCAGTTGGATGGTTACTTTGTGGAAAATGCTGAGACTTTACAATATGTTTATTGTTTTATTTATTGTTTAGTACTGAGGATGTGAATCGTGTTGGATTCAATTCTTGACAGTGACAAAAGTAAGCAAGTAAGTAAGTAAACTTTATTTATATAGCGCTTTTCACAGACAAAATCACAAAGTGCTTTACAACATCAAAGAATAGTAATAATACAAAACACAAATAATATACATAAACCTAAAAGCAATTCAAATAACAAAATAAACACAGATCATAAAAATCTGTAAACCCAATCAATTAAAAGACTGTCTAAATAAATGTGTCTTCAGCTGCTTTTTAAAACCCTCAACAGATTCGGCCAAAACGTAAAGACAAGGGCAGAGCATTCCACAATCTTGGAGCAACCGCCTTAACTTCATTACACACAGTTAAAATGTTACCAGATAACTTAAAAGAAGGGAATGCAAGGGACCTGTCCTCTTTTGTGCGGCATTTCATAATAACACTTTTAGCAGAGTTGTACTTGACATCGTGAAGCCCCCAAACAGAGAACATACATTCAAGAGCTGCTGGAGACCTGCTGAGCTGGGACTAAAGATCACCAGATCATCTACATACATTACGTGTTTCACTATTGTACCACCAACCATACATCCCATTCTACACATATTTAGCTCCTCAGAGAGACCATTCATATAAAAATTAAACAAAATCGGGGACAACAGGCTACCCTGCCTTACCCAGTTACAGGTCTGAAAGGGTGCAGATATACAATTATCCCATCTGACACACATAGTCTGGTGGGCATACCAATATGACAAGCATCTTACAATATATTTAGGCAGTATTTAGCACTCGAGCGTCACATAATTTCTGGAATAACTTCCTATGCTTCACACGATCAAACGCTTTAGAAGAACACATAAATATGGTAGAATTTTTACTTTTATATTTACTGACTAGTTCTTTTAAAGCAAAAATACACATATCAATGCCATGATTGGCTTTAAACCCCAGTTGATTATCAGTAGAGCCAATAAGATTATGAAACCTACTCAAGAGAATTTCTTCAACAACTTTAGAAAGTATGTTAGCAAGTGCAATGGGTCTATAATTATCAGAGCTGCCCACCTTTCCTGCTTTATTCTTCACCACCGGGACTAAAAGCACTGACATTAAAGAGTCAGGCATAAACCCATGCATAACAAAAGAAGTAAAGCATATAGCTAAAAGAGGTGCCAACCTCAAACTAGCACATTTAAGATGTTCTAGAAAAATGTGATCCATCCCAGTAGACTTACTTGCTGACAAATTGCGTATTGCTTGAGAAACCTCATATGTTTTAATAGCGTCAACAAAGTCAACCCTACCTATAGAGAAGGTTTCACTAAGGACACAAGTAAATAGACTTCGGTAGCAGTGTCGCCCAAGCTCAACTATCTTATCCGGGCCAGAAACGTTTCCAAAGTCCAATAACATTTCTGAAACAATTTTAACGATAGCTGACAGCCAAAGCGTGTAAAAACATGTTCAACACAACAGCCCCCAGAGCCACAGCATCACCAGAACCCAGTCACAGAATGGAAGAAGAGGAAAAGAACAAGAGACAAGATATATTCTGCGCTTGGATGCTTTTTAACACTAGAACGTCAACAATACATTACCTCCTAGAACCACCGTGAGGTCATTTTGATCTCGCACCACTTCAGGCTTTATAATTGCAAATTAGAAGTCTATTACAGGAATGTTTGGTCTTTTTTTTTTTAAATAGCATGTAAAAATGGAGGAAATAAAAAAATCTGAATTTTATGAATTTTTCCACATTAGGATTTTTTATATTTTAGCAATATAAAAATGTAAATTCACTAAACTATCAGTGGAAAAAACATGTAATAAAATATGGGAAAGCTGTCAAACAGATAAAAACATTAACATTGCTCATAAACACTGAACATTAAAATAATAACAGTCCATTGCTTTCATGAGAAATGAACATGAATTCAGAAATATTTACAAAGAAAGAGAGCCTTGGTCAAAAATGTTTGGGAACCACAGGCCAATTCTGCTCCATGTTCTGCCACACAGTTTACTCACAACCAGCACAAACACTGAAGATCTTGACAGTACGCTGACCACACACAGGTCGCCGGCACTTGACGCATGATTTGACAGTTTACTTTTTATTGCAGGGCACTTTCAATGTACACTGCCTTTGCTGCTCCTGAGGCTGCTCTACCACTGTTTGAAGGGGCAGTGGTACCGTCTCAGTTGCCTCTTTCATTTGCATGTGGTCGCTGCGTAATTCCTTACAAAACTGCAGAAGGAAGTCGCGCCTAGCAATTTTTACTTTTGTGTAGCTCTGGTAAAGAATGCATACATTGACGCCAGCCAGGTCCAACATGTTATAGAAGAAGGCAACTGGCCATCTGCGGGTGGCGGCTCTTGTGGAGTATTGCCTGATCATTTTATCCAGGACATCCACTCCCACCTTGGTCTTGTTATAATAGTGCACTGTGTCTGGCTTTTTCTTCTGACTGTCACTTTCCACTTTAGCATCTGGTTCATTATGCTGAGGATACACACATTTTTGTTCACCTTGCCCTGGTATATTGTGAGCATTGCCTTGTCACTCTTCATCACGTTGGTGTCATGCAGTAGTGCTTTGTGATGCACAGAAGGTGGGAGTGAATGCCTGTTTGTGTTCACAGTGCCCACCAGGCTGGTGTTCCTTACTAGGAGTTTATGGACAAGGGGGAGTGATGTAAAAAAGTTGTCTGTAGTGACGTTTCTCCCCATGCCTAGGTAAGGCCGCATCAGGTTCATCACTACCCTATACTCATTTTGTATCTTGGTTGCCTAGCAACACCTATTGTTAATTTTGGAAAGTATGTGTGTGTAAGAATGGGGGAATGTGAGGCATTACTGTAAAGTGTTTTGAGCTGTGTATCTGACTGGATATATAATTTATATGGCTGTACACATGCAGTCTATTTACCATTTTTGCATTAGGAATAATGGAGGTCAAAATGACCTCTTGGCGGTTCTAGGTAAAACCACTCTTTTTTTTTTTCTCTCTCTTTTATTCCAGAATCCCCAAAATGCATAAGATGATGTGTAACACACTTTTAGGAAAAGTCACTGATTGGGAGACATAGGGTTTTTACTCAAACAAAGTTACATGCATTTTAATACGCAAGCGAGGTCAAAATGACCTTAGGGCGGTTCTAGTGTTAAGCTCAAATATCTCAGATATCAATATATCTGGGTTTACCAGCAAGGACCCAGGAAGTTGTTGCATCACAGGCTCTAGCCTTATATTCAGCCACATAAGTGCTCCACCCAGGTTTAATTTTGCACTTCTCTTTTCTTTTATAATAAGGCATACTAGCTTCTATCAACACCCGAATAATATTAGAATGCATGCAAGAAATATCAGCCGTGTGGCTAACAACTGTACAGTTAACGTTCGTACATATAACAGCCTCCCTAGGTACAGTAATATCACATAACAGTTTATCAGTGTCAGAATAGTAGCAGGCAAGATTCTCTGCAGAAAGAATGGACCAATCTAACCTTTCATGCTCTTAGTTAGTCTGAATTAAAATAGGTATAAAATCAAATCTAACAGCCATCTTCACAGGAATGTGGTCAGAAATAGACATGTTATATAGAATGGCAATATTCTCCAAAGCATGAATGGTTTCATGAATGCTGTATAAGGGTTCATGCTTGGTGAAATGTGTAAAAGTTTGCTGAAGATAAATGTATACTGTGTTATAGTGAAAGTTTATGTATACTGAGCGAATATTTAAAGTACATTTTTTAATATACTGTGTTATAAGTGTTAAAGCAGGATGGCCGGCATCAGCCCGCGAGCTTATACTGGATGATGGCACAGAAAATACATGCTAGTTGGCCGTTGGTTGTAGTCTGTGTGCTGTGTTCAAGTACCATTTTTTCACCCTGCCTGGGTCACTGCTAGTTCTTTCATGTCAGCTTGGTGTCTCTCTGCTCCCTGTGTTAACCCTGTCAGCACCTGATAAACCTCAGTCTACAGTAAAATCATTATTGCAGTATGCAAATACAATTAGGCAGTGGAAAAAAAACGAATGTGCATAAATCCGTTGTATACTGTGGCTCCAAACATGATGTATATTGGTGCGCAAGTGTGTGACATATCAACTCTGACCAGGTAAAAAAGAAGACAGGATACTGGGAGAAGTCATTGCAGCTGCGGTTGGCCAGGTTGTTCAGGTGGAGGAGGTACTGATAGTTACTGAGATGATCATGCTGCCACTGCAGCATATAGCTCTCTGCTGTGTGCTCTGCCGTGTGGTTCTCTGAGCAAAAAGGACAAGTCGGGAACATGCTGTTGGGTTTCACTAACACTAGTTTCCAAAGTCCAATAACATTTCTGAAACAATTTTAACGATAGCTGACAGCCAAAGCGTGTAAAAACATGTTCAACACAACAGCCCCCAGAGCCACAGCATCACCAGAACCCAGTCACAGAATGGAAGAAGAGGAAAAGAACAAGAGACAAGACAGGAGTAAATACCTTTCTGTATAAATAGTTGCCTATCTCAGTCCCCCAAATAAATCACTTTATCTCACGTCAGAACATTTGGTCTTTGTCACGTTAAACCCTATATAGCGTCACCAACAATGTTTCCTTCTATTACAAACATCCGCTTTCGAACACTTTAGCAAACTATAAGAAAATACAAGCAGTATTTCAGCAAAACTAAATAAAAAAATGCCTGCCATCATTTGTTGTTCTTTTTGTTACAACTGTTCATCTTCGGTCTCACAATAAATAAAATTATGCTGAATCATATTTGCATAAAATCCATTATGAACCTACTTTACCTTTTTTATTTAATGGTTCAGTAACAGCTTTATCTTATAAGCAAATGCACATGCACATGTAGGCTACTGCTGTGCATGAGGAGGGCTGGAAACACAACTAGTACTTACAACAGTTGGGTACAACTCAGCAAAAACTAGGCTACATTTAGAGTGAGGTATCTGGGTGAAGACATGAATAACTACACATAATAAATGTTATGGAAAATCTTTGTTGTGCTTTAAGAAGAGAAAAATATTCAGAACTTTATACTAGTTTCATCAGTGTTCTGCAAAGAGTCATCCAGTGGCTTGTTTAGGAATTACAGGTCTATGTTTCTAATGCATTATTTAATTAGGTCATTCCCATTAAAAATGAAGGCATGTTATCAAATATTTTGAGCATAAAAATCTAAATAAATCAGTACTCACATTCATAATCATATTCATAAATAGACAGGAGTGCAATGTAGTCCAGTACAGTTTTGCAAAACAAGAAAAAGAATAGGCCCTATTGCGATAATAGCAGATTATGGGAAAATCTGTCTAAAGATAACTTTATTAAAAAAATATGTACCTCTTGGTCTTATACAGTATGTACTGAAATAAATGTTATAAATCAAGATTTTGATGTGGGGTCCTTTCACAAGACAGGGCCACAAGATATAAAAAATACAGGACCTATTCTGAGGGCCCTTATCCAGTCAGGTTATATTATACTTTGGTGCTTTAAACCAAATTACATCAAACTAAGTGCTACATATGGTGGCAAATATGGTGGCAAGGATCAAGAAACAATGATTACAGTTTTTCTCATATGCTAAAACACAAAAGCCAATCCTCTAATCAAAAATAGGTGAACTGGGATTTATTCTACTGTATATGTGATGGTTGCAGTATACTGTATCTTAGCTGCCTTTTCATGTCAGCAGTCTGACACAACAGTCTTAGCGGCAGTGTGAGGAGCCTATTTGGAAGGTGGTTGTGTAGAACCACTGCTCCTTTGCATTGAAAGATGCCATTTGTGATGTCTGGTTAGTTAAATACTTCAGTGTTTCTTAAAGCTAATAGTGTAAAAAGCTTTAATAAATCTCCGTCTGTCTAAATCCAGCCCAGAACTGCAGGTCTGAAAAGAGATTTGGAGTGTAGGCTGTATAGACACAACCTTGATAATGTTACAACCATACACACCTTCAGGGCATATGCACACTATGCCCAGTTGGTTGTCCAGGTTACTATTAAGATTAAAAACACTGATATTTGACATTTGCACACTGGATAACTTTGCTTTGTATACATTCTTATTTTACTATTTTTATTACCTTCATTGCATAAGGCTCAAAAGTTCATAACTTGAAAAAAGAAGTCAACAATTTGGCAATTGTATCCACTTTGTAATGTTTCAATCTGAAACAGTTCAACCAAATTTCTGACTTTTGCCTGAGGTCTAAGGATAGAAACATTGTTAACCTCAAATTATGGTTTTGGGCTCTCTCATATAAACTGACTTAATTTTTATTTGATTAAAATATTTGAATCATCTTCAATATGTTGTAGGGGTGTAACGATTCCACAGTTCATTTCACAATTGATTCAGTGTGTGTGTGTGTGTGTGTGTGTGTGTGTGTGCGTGGGGGGAAGGGGGGTATATTTTGTTTTGTAATGTACTGTAAGAGAGCTCATCAGGCTGCACCAGCAGTGGAAGCAGTGGGCTGGTGTCGGGGGTGGGGGGTTTTGTCAGTTGTTGTGGTTGCATGTTCTGGTATAGCTGTTTTCATTCTCAGTTCTGAATTGTCACACCCATAAAGCACCACAGGGAAGACTGCAGTGTTAAACAAATATTAAATGAACATTGTGGAAGCCGCTTTATTCACGTAACACACTCTGCAGCAAGTGTCATTCATGGATGTGGACATGAAAGCACAGACTTGTTATATTACTGACCTGTTTTCATACACAGTGGATTACTATTTCCAGAAAATATTCATATATGTAACAACAACCAATGAAAACATTATGGTCAAACACAGGGAAACAAAAGGAAACTGAGCCTCTACAGGACAAAAGTATGTTGCCAAACAACACTGCAGAGTATTGAGACAATACACAACAGAAAATCCAACTCAACTATACTGTGTATATCATCAGACTGACACAAATGTTGTCATTTTCAATGTCACACATCACTGTAAATCTGACTTGTACAGTATGGCATGATTGCTACTGTATGGCAAGCACTACATTAAAAACTGGCAGGCTCCAAAAAATAAAAGAGAAAGGTGTATTGATAGGAGAGAGATGAAGTTAACACACAGATAATGTGTCAAATCTATCTGTCTCTAATGAAAACGATCATCAGTTCTCATACAGTCATCTAAACTAATTCATACACAATATATATTACTTTTCCAAAGAAATAGAACATCCCACAGCATACAGTGAACAACAATGCACATAAATTCAGTCTCTTGTTAGTGATTTAAAACACAGATTGGTTTATAAGTTAACTGCACCTGAACCATATACAGCAGCAAGCATATGGTTCATGTATAGTGCAATAAGGAGAGAGGGGAAGTCACAGTCTGGTGTCACTACTGCATGAGGGTTGAGGAGGGAGTACTACAGGAGCTTTCTAACTGGTCTGTTCTTCTTTCTCCAAGTCAGAGATTTAAGAAGACAAGAAGGGGTGGAGATTTCAGTTGATCCTGAAAGAAACAAGACAGTGTAAAATCACTTTTCAGTATAATGATTAAAATGACTAAAGGGAAGTGGTGTAAGCTGGTAAAGATAATAATGTATATACAGTCCTTTGAGAAATGTCTCATGTTTTAAAGACATTGTTTTGTTGCTCAATATAATATCCATGTTTCTAGCTCTGTTGGACTGTTAGCATTAATGTCAGTGTCCCCAGGTCTCTGCAGTTATTTTGGTGAGCACAATGTTAACATAACTGACAAATTATGGAAAAAACTGGAAACATCCTTTCATCATATTATGTTTATCTGAAAGAGATCCAAATATAAAGAATTATACTCACTGTTGAGGAAATACAAATAACATGGTGCACTGTAGTACATTTGGCATTAACACAGGTAAAGAAAGCACTGCCACAGAGTACAGTATCTGTTACCACACTGGTTGTAAACAAGCTGCAAATGTGTTTTCAGTACATTTGTTAAATAGAAAAAATGACACCAAAACAATTCTAAACAACACTGGGAATGTGTCTGATTTAGACCCTCTGCTTTTCACATTCTTCCAGTGGTTTTGTTAACTATGACAGAGATGTAACAGAGCTGTGTGACAACCAGATGGCAATGCAGCCATATTGTATATGGGTGTCCACTATGCTGTGTTCACATACTCAACTCCAACTGATATAAAATAGTACATGATTTTAACATACTTTGTGTAAGTTCTACTGTATGAACTATCTTACCCAAAACTGCTACGGATACTATAGCCAGTAGCATGTAGTCTATACAGTATGTGTTACCATGAAATAGTAGTGTCAGTGATCTACTAGGATTACATGGATGACTTCAGTGACTATATTCTTTAACATGCAAAATGACCAATGGAAACATTCTGACAAAACTACTTACATATTCCTTCGAGGTACAAATATGAGATAGAAGGATCAGTGTCAGTGTCAAAGAATATGGCAGCATTTGAGATTCAGTGAAAATCACTGACAAAGAAATGCTGCAAGGATGGTTGGGTGGATCAAAGGTAAGACGCTGGGTGGGTGGATGGATTGGTGGGGGAGCACAGGGATTCATAAATCACATTGTGAGTTCTGTATTTACGTCCAAACGTCTTTTCACTCTGCAGTCAGCTCCTCTCTGCCCTCTGATGGGGCATTAGGGTCCAAGAGGTCTGGGTGCTGTAGTCCCTTTAGGTACTTAGGGGGAGTGAGAATGTGAGTAGAACCTAGAGAAGACAAAAAGATGAAAGCGCACCAATGTCTGAAGCCTGGTTGAAGCCTTGTTTGTTACACACGACACATTAGACTGATCATGACAGAAAATATGAAGAGGTCTTATTGAAAAAGTTACAAAATGCTGCCACATAACTGTGCACTGTGTGACTAAAGCCAAAGGGAAATAAGCATGACTAAATCCCTACTGAAATTTGAACTGAAGATAATTTTATAGCTTCACTTGTTCTGTTCTCTTTCTAGTACCTGCTGCATCCATTCTCTGAAAGTCACAGCAGTGCATCAGCTCACAGTATGTATGTAATGGATGCCAGATGATAGTGAAAAATGTCTTCAGAATTCATGCTTATTCATTTTAAGTGTACTTCATTGGAGTATGCAAGACAATGTTTTAGTAGTACCATTATTACTGTGACCCACATCACTAAAGAGTTTTATCCAATTAGTACTGAAATCTAGTTTCAAATTAAAATAATAAAATATAAATGGGTCCGCTGTCGCCTCACAGCAACAAGGTTCCAGGTTTGAGCCCTGGCCCCTCCAGTGTGGAGCCAGTTCTCTCCTGGTACTCCAGCATCCTCCCACAGTCCAAAGACATGCAAGCTTCGGTTGACTGGTGACTCTAAATTCCCAATAGGAGTGAGTGTGGGTTGTGGGAGAACCTTTCCTGGGGCCAGTCAAGGTCCAGTTCACACCCACACAGTTCTCTATCTGCAGTCAAAATCACTCAAAGTCTAAACAGTCTGCTGTAAAGTATAATATTTATTAAGGGAAAAAAATCAAAAACACCCCAGGAGCATCTGTTTCTGGTCCACAGAGTTCGAATGACTACAAGGCCTGAGACAATCTTTTTAACCACCCTATAGCTCCTCCATGCCCGGGGGTTGCTTCATCCCACATTTCTCTCAGACATACTTAGGGATATACTATTATTTTATTGATAAATACAGGTTTCTAAAAAATAAAAATGACCTCCCATGGCAAATGCAAGTCATGCTGGCTCTTACAGTTTTGAGTCCAGGTTACAAAATTGACATACCTTGTTTCATAACACATCCAAAATAACTTCACAACTAAGGCCTGTGCCAGTGTGCGAAGTTGTCTCTAAGTGTCAGCCCTGTGATAGACTGGCGACCTGTTCAGGGTGTACCCCGCTTCTTGCCCAGTGTCAGCTGGGATAGGCTCCAGCCACCCCACAACCCTCTTTAGGAATAAGTGGTATAGATAATAGATGGACGCATGGATAGAGGGGTCCTCCACCAATTTAGTACTGCATGTCAGTATAGATGGGGAATGTGCAAAAAGACATTTTAACAGAATCTTGAAAGCTGATATCTAAGCAACAAAAGTCAAGCCACCTTGACTTTAGGGCACTAATATGGGTTGAACTACAAAAAAAGCTGGATTCTATATTTCTCGCAATACAACCTGATAGCACCTTTCCTGCCAGGTAAATGCCCCCTCCAAACCTTCAGTTTGTAATGCAGACTACTGTAATACATTTTACAGTGCCAGTTACCATTGCCAAGTTGATTATATCATTATGATATAATATAATCAGGGTTAACCTTTCAGACTTGATAAAGCTCCTCACAGAAGAAATTATACAACTATTGTACAAGCTGAGTAGTACTCCTTGTGACAAATAAAATGTTCTACATACAGTAAATCAAAGTAAATAAAGTAAATTCAATTAACTGCATTAGTTAATTGAATCCCTTGGTCATCACTCACCAATGAGGGCCTCCCACTTGCCATTGGCCTGGGTGACCTCATATACACAGCGCATCTCACTGTACGTCATCCCTCCAATAATAAAGACAATGACCCTGGGCCCCATCTTCATCTCTGTGGGGCCCCTGTTCTTGTGCCAGTTACCATAGCGAGCACTGCATGATAAGAAAAATGGAAACAAATGAACATTTACTGCAAAACACTGAAAGGTAAGTTATTTTTTCCAGTACAGGTAGATTGCTTTCTTCCTTCTAGCTACAATCTACTTAATTTGATATTTTTAGCTATTGAAGCAGTTTATTGACGTAATAGTTTACCTCAAGTGCAGGCACATCCATAAAAAGACTACACACCTTGATGGAGCACTGGCCTTGGCAGATGCTTGTCGTTGGGAAATGTATGGGTACTGCTTGGGGTCAAGTTTGTCTTCAATGGCATCCTGTGGAACATAAGTTACTACAGTTTGTACCAGAAACGTACTCTTTTATGTTTTACCCTCTTGTCCAAAATACTATTTGAAATCCTATGAGGACAGGGTTTACTTTACATGAGGTGGTGGGGAATAATATATTCATTATCCTCCTGTGTTAAATCATTAATAAAACATTTAGAAATTACAAAATACTGTATAAAAATAAAACCATCTACCATAGATGGTTTTATTTTAACAGTTGTTGTAATGGTTTCCAAACAGGCCTGTATGTTGGTGATAGCATGTTTCCATCTATCAGACTAACAAAAACATTTATGGCTTCCTGGTTTTTCACAGAAAAATCTAATTTCAGTTTGACTTGATTAAAAACAAAGCACCACTCCGGAGGACCTACACCTACAGGAGGACTGGAAAGTTTGCAGAAACAAAGCAGATAATTGTGGATGGCAGTGAAAACATTACCAGTACATGCACACCAGACATGATTAAATTCAAACAGGGTATTAAATACATCACACTTACCCCAAAGAAATAAATCCATTCTGAATGGGACTTAGGCTTAAGAGAACATAAACTGACAAAAACATCCACCATATCAAAAGTGTAATGGGTTTTAACAATAAGGTGTATCATTGATATAAAGGAGATTATGCTGTTTTCAAGAAAACATTTTGTCTTATTTGACACATTGCATTACCCTGATGGAAGATTTGATCACTTTAAGAAAAATTAAAAAGAAAAATTTTAAGAATCAACACTAAAAATAACTTATTAAACCACTGTTTAATGCGTATTTGTAGTGATTAAAGATGTAGATTTTTAACCAGAAATGTCACATTATTAGTGTGTGGTCATATTGCAGCAGCACATGAGAGGTACCTCAATGAGATCCTTGACAAGAGGGGTCCACCTGGAGAGCTGGTACGTCTGCTCACTGCTTCGCTCCTTACGCTCAGACCTCTTGGCTTTCTTGGCAGTACCCTGTTGGGGAAACAACGTTGCTCACTCTGCTTTTACTACGCACACCAGCAGAGCAGCTCACTGAGCTGAAGAGGCTCATTTTTAAAAGGGTGTGCCAAATGTCAGTCTAGAGGTATTTACTGTAGGCCCACATTCAGCCTTAAAATATAATTATAATAAAGGGAGGTTTAGGTAATAGCATTTTGGCCTGTCTCAAGCCAATTTCACCTTTTTAGACAGCAGCACATTGAAATGAAGCAGAAAACATGCTTTTACACTTCTCAGATGAGGTTAAACTGTCATCTGGAATCAGATTTGGTGATGCTCTGCAAACTTGTCCCATCCCAGACATGCTTACAGAGGTCTGCTGAGGGTTCATTTTCTCACTCTTGGTGTTTTCTCTAGGCAGCCTACAGTGTGATTTGTCCACTATAGGTCAACATATACTTGCAACTGATTAGTTTATACAGGGCCCACAGCAGTTTTATCCATTTTGGGCATGTGTGTGTTTTATTTGTGTAATGCACTGGGGCAGGGAATCTGATTTTAATGGGATGTGGAAGAGAGTTTAGGATCAATTTGAAAAACAACCACTCTGTAAATGAATGAATGAATAAATGAATGAGTTGAATGAGAAACTTTTGAAGGCCATTTTAAAAATGTGTGTCTTCAGTAAGAGCCAGCAGGCTCGGGGCTGAGATCCACAGACAGGACAGGGAATTAGCAAACTTCTGAGACTCTGTTCGTTTGAGTCTTTACATGGGAGTTGTTGAGAAGCAGAAAATGGAGAAACACAAAATATACAGCTTTATCATTTAGAGGCGAGTGATTCTGAAGAGTAATATTCACTTCAACTAATGATTGTGTTTATATGTTCTCATGTTGTTATTACACATATCTGATGCTGAAAAGTCTTTGAGATAGAAGACTATTGAACAAGTTTTCTACTGGAAATAGCAACTTCAAGAACCATTCTGTTGTATTATGTAAAGCAGGAAGAAGAAAGAAAGGTGTTCCATGATACTTTTAGATGCATTAATGACATAGGGACATCCTGCTTAATTAAAGTCCATAATGAGACAGGGCCAGGACAGCTCACCTCAGAGACAATAGGAACGCCCATGTGGGCCATGTTGGAAATGATGTCACTATCCTCTGGCGGAATGTTGGCATGCTGAAGGAGCTTACACAGATTCTCCTCAGTCACCCCTGACACACATACAGCCACACACACACACATGCAGCACAGATTTTCAGTGCATACTATACATGCAACACAGATGCATGAGAGCATGCACATTTACAAATATGGTTCAACAGATGCTAACACAAGGAAAACTGACAATGGGTTAGCACCAAAGAAACAAAAGAACAAAACATGAATGCATATGATTCAAATACATATTACACTAACATACCAGAACCATTGTTCTGAATTTAAACCATCAAATGTCCCTGAGTGGACGTTACTCTTTTCTCTTCATAGCAAGAAGTTCAAATGTTATTAGTTCATATGAGAAATAAGAGAATAATGCCAGTGGATATCTTACCATTCTTAAGGAATATGTAGAGCAGGATGATGCGGATTTTGTCAAACACACTGACATTGGCATCCAGTAAAACAGGTACAATGAGCCTCATAGGATCCTTGATCTTCTCTCCCTCTGCATCTGTGCCCATTGCCAGATCCTTGAAAACAGAGGAGGACTAAAGATACCAAAGCTCAACACGATTTCCACTGTGCAGAAATCTGCCTCAGACTAAGAGGAGAGCCTGTAAATACTTGTATGTGGCTGGAGCTACCTCCAGAGGGGTCAGCAGAGAGGTGACACATCCCAACAACAAACCCCGACACTGGTCTGAATTTAATTCAACTACCCATCTTAACTACTGGCTGTGTACATTAAAATGCCACAATGAGATTTGTAACCTCACTTTCACTATTGTTCCACACTACTGTACTTTTTAGACACAGAACTGCCTAAATACAGTAATCGAGGTGTCTATATGATCTGTACCTGTTCTACACGACAGAGTTTGTCCACAGTGCCCTGGTAGCGGTTCATACAGTCCTCAGCCAGGTGGAGATGGGTCGAATACTGAAGTCAGAGAGGAGAGACGCTGCTAGTGCAATCAACACAGACAAAACAATAAACTGCAAACAACATTAGAAGAAGCGTGTTTTTCAGGGTTCAGGTTGGGAAATTTGTAAAATAGAGTTAACAGCTAACGTGTTTTCTGAGCCTCCACATCTGTGGATTATCACACATATGTACACATGGTGCAAAGATGCACAATATCAAATTACACCAAAATGTAAACCTGGCTTGGCCTTTCTAATTGTGCACTCATGCTGGCTCCCATGGTGCTTTGGAAGAAAACACTTAACAAATGGTACTAAATACAGTACAGTAATCACTTTAGCTTCTACCTTGCTGAGCTCTTTCTGATACTGAGGCATCTTCTTCAGCATCTGAGACAACTCCTTCATGGTGGCCTGAAAGACAAAAAATATTTTATTCATGGTAAAACTGATGACCTCCAGTTATGCTCTTTACTTTGATATAATATCTTCAGTCTTGACTCCAGTACTTTACTTGGTATCATTTTTAGGTAGTGTACTTCCACTTTATGTTACTTGTACTTCTACGTCACTAATATTGGGAACAATATACAGTAGTGCTTTTTACTCCACCACATTTTTCAATCAGTGAGAGTAACAGATTACAAATTCATATTTTACATACAAAACATATAATCTGTTAGAAATGTAAGATACATTTTCTGTGGATTGAAGTACCCCACAGTAAATAAAATCCCTTTAATTCAAGCAGCTACAAATGCTCCTGCACTCGCAGGGACCATTCTGCCTGGATAATGAGAATATTCACAGAACAGTGATATTCTGAGTACATTTTGCTGAAATCATATCATATTTTGAATGTAGGACTTTTGATTGTAACAGTGTATTATTATAAGTGGTACTGACACTTTCACTGAAGTACAGGACTGGAATCGTCAAGTGCTTGCTCAAGGGAGATTTGTTGGCTTTTCCCCTATAATACAGTAAGGTCTAGACCTTACTATGTAAAGCAGTGGTCCCCAACCTTTTTATCACTGCGGACCGGTCAACGCTCGACAATTTTACCGCGGCCCGGGGGGGGGGGGGGGGTTTTCAGTGCTGTGGTGGCGATCTCAGGGTATTCTGTCATGACTTTAATCCAGAACACCGACAGAGTTGTTGTCTCGAACATACTTTTAAGGCCGCCGTCATTTGCGATCTCCAGCAGTTGATCTTCTTCTTGCACAGACCTGCTGGATTCACCTGGTTTGTTGACAAATGGGTTGCGGATCCCTTCCTTGGCAGTTCGTGGGTCCTTTGTGGTTGGGAAGTAGCGCTCGAACTCTTTTAAAAGCAAAGACATGTGATCGTGCACCAGCTGGGAGAATGAAGACTCAGGCTCAGTCTCACCCAAAGTCTCATGTTTGAAACATGTCCAAAATGCCTCTGTTGACGCGCCGTCCCCACAAATCCAGTTTGGCTTTAAATGCAGCTACTTTATCTGCCAACTTGAAGACAGTTGTCATTTTCCCCTGAAGTGACAGATTGAGTTCATTGAGCAGGCTGAATATGTCGCACAAGTAAGCCAGTTTTGGCGCTCAAGTGACCGAGATGTAACCGAGAGAATGCGGTCATTTTTCAAAATAAAAGATCGTTCAGACTCAGATAATAAATAAAACGGAAATAATTAATGATTTCTTGTGCGGCCCGGTACCAATTGATCCACGGACCGGTACCGGTCCGCGGCCCGGAGGTTGGGGACCACTGATGTAAAGTATCCTGAAATTATTGTTGTTGTGATTTGGGGCTATACAAATAAAACTGAATTGAATATTCCTTATTGCAATAATTGTAGTATATAGTAATAGTATTATTATAGTATAGATCCGATTTTGGTTAAGTCCTTTTGGGCCTCTAGTTTTGTTATTGGTTACACATGACAGTGAAAATCTTATTTTCATCAGGTACTTATACTTGTGTCCAGTAATAGCCGATCATGGCCAGTTATGGCCCACAGACCAGAACATGCTCACGCATTAGTATTTTCATACAGCACTGATGTTCAGATACCTTTACTGTCTTGTCCACAGCCATAACTGCCAGTTGCTAAGTAACACAGCTGAGTTTTTAATGGTTGTGCATCTCACACATACCCTATCAGGTTTGTTTAATTGAAGTTGACCCTCCAAAATGTTGCATTGAGAGGTACTACTTTTGCTGAGGTGAGTTCACCCCACCTCCTGTGTAAATAGGACAAGCCCTGCCCTCAAACAGACACACAAACCTGAAACTGGATGCACATATAACAGGCTACAGATTTCCATTCATAAATATATAAAACAAAATCAGACAGCATGATTGTTTCATTTTCATATTGGGCATGAAGTACACAGACTGTTGGATGTCATGAGAAGCATCATGGCTCTAGTATCAGGCAGAGCCAGTAGCAGGCTGCTATGTAAAATGAACACAGAGGCAGCATTTTGCCAGCTTTTTAAAGCTCACCGTAAAAGGGGTTAAATCAAAGCAGCTGCCTTAAAGGAGGGTCAAAGTGGTGATGGTTTTCTGCGATTTCTGTGTAAAAGAGGCTTTTGTTTCTCCTTCTACCTTTGTGAAACTCTGTGAAGGACCTTTGGGAGCAGAAACACAGATCCTGAAACCAGAGAGTGATTGACTGTGTCCTCTACCTTTTCTCCAGTGCTCATCTTTTTGCTAGCAGAGAATTCTTTCAGGGATCGAGTCACAGCCCTTTGAGGACAAATGAGAAAGAAACAGACAGGGATAAATAATGCCAGCAAAACTGAGAAGGTCTTTCTGTATGCTGATTTTGTTCTGTGACAGAGCTTTAGGCTTGTGGTATAAGAGAAACTGCTCCTGTTTTTGTTTATCCATGCTACAAGTGTGTATGTGAGAGTAGAGAGTCTGCTACTCACGCTGACACCTCAGCAATGTGTTTGTGTCTCAGGCTCAGCCACAGGTCATCATCCTCATCCAACAATACCTCCTTCATTCTCGTCTCTCCTATCCCACTGGTCTCAAACCTGACAGAGGGGACGAGAGAGGGTTGTGTGTGCATTTTAAAGTAAAGTCCATCCATACCACTTATTCCTGAATAGGGCTGCAGGGGGACTAGAGCCAATCCCAGCCGCCATTGGGCAAGAGGTGGGGTACATCCTGGACAGGTCACCAGACACTTTGAGACAGACAACCACACTCACTCCTAGAGGCAATTTAGTCATCATTCAACCTAAGCCAGGGCTCAAACCCAGAACCTCCTTGCTGTGAGGCACCAGCACTAACCACCAATCCACTGTGTCACCTATTTCACACAGTAGTGAAGAAAACAACTAAATATAAAACAAATATCAATATAAAAGGTCCACCCTGAGCTCAGTGACTCCTGGCAGCTGTCAGACCTGTTTCAATAGCATCCTCACCTGTAGACATCGTTCTCAATGCCCAGCAGGTCGTAGGCCATAGCCTGCAGTGTAAGCTCATGCAGGAGAGGTGACACAGGATCAAAGCCACGATCCAAAATGAGCAGCTGAGTAAGAGACTTATCTGGACCCTGGAGGCATCAGACACAAAGAAAAGCACACACGGTGAGGGACTGAAAAATTTTTTGCACTTTTTACTTGGAGCTCTCCTTTCAATATTCCTAAATTATGCTAGATTTGGTCAACACATTTGTAAACCATAGACTTAGGTCTACGCTTCCCATCCAATAAAAACAGTACAACTGTTGAATGAAAACATAACATCTCCCAAAGTTCAGCAAAAAAAGAACAAAAAAGCTTGACTTACTGTAGCTTTAACTCAACTACTGTGTTATAATTGAAAGTGTTTTTAATCCAATATGATCCTTCAGATGGAGTGAAAATTTAAAAATCCATAAAACTGGAGTTGTGGCATGAACTTTATTTTACTGTTTTATTACCAGTAATTCAGAGTTGAGTAATTACAGAATGTTCGAAGAAATCTCCTAGGGGAATGGATTTTTGTTAGAAATATATTTGTTCAACTGTATTCATATTTTGAAAGATAAAACATATATCAAGTATTTGCAAATAATTCATGTAGACATTACATATTGTAAACTCCTTGTTACCAGATTGTGCTGGGCTGTTGTGGGTCATATACTATATGACATTATGAATGCAGGGAAGTGTATTCCATGTGCTTTTCTATTGTGTCATTTTAATAAACCCCCATAATCTGAAAAGCACTGACTACTGAATTTTAAATGATACATCTTCTTCTCTCTGTTAGTAATTTAGTCATTTAGCTCCACTTCCCTACCTCTCCCATGGTGGGGTCATCAGCCTTGTAGCCATCCAGCTTCTCCTGAAGCATCTGGGCTAGAACTGCACAGTCCTCGTACTCCCTGAACAACACACACATAAAATCTGCTTTTTGATCAGGACATGCTGATGACACATCTACTGAGTTTCTTGAAGAATCTGCATGAGTAGAACAATATGGCGAGCAATTTCAACTTAACAGCATAACAGCACAAAGAAAGGTGGCAGTTGCTAATACAGGCAAAATTACTGAAGAGGGTGAAGTATACTGTAATATATGTACATATATGTATGCAAGTGTAATGTTTTCATCATATTTAAGGAAAATATTTGGGATTTTTCAAGTCGTACATGAGAATAGGCCTTAGTCACTGTAACTTTTCCCGCTCACCACACCATTCCTGAAGCTTTTCACCAGGACCCTGACTACAGTGGGAGAAATAAACAATAAACTACACAGCCATGATTCTGCGTGCATATGTTCAAGTTTGTGTGAGGCTCAAATGAAGCATCATCTGTTTCACTAAGCAAATTAGAGAAGGCACTATCAAAGTTATAGTTTATTAAAGACAAATATCCCTCTTTTGTTTGCCATGGTAGTAGTTCCTTGCTGAGCTGTGTCAGGGATGCGTTCTATCCCTGTGACACAGCTCAGCAAACTAATATTTTTCAAATCAAGCCATGAGTATGACATGGTTTGATTTGATTTAAACCAATGGAATTAGTGGTGTAGAAATGTGCTTTGTACTGAAATGATCCATTAGATGCGTAAGCAGGGAAGAAGGTGTAGTTACATTAGTTGGATAACAAGGAAAGTTTGAAATCATGGACAATCTCTAAAATAAAAGCTTAGCTCACTTTTCAGTTAAGGTTAATAGAGACCCTCTTTACCCTCTGTATCGGACTCCAGGATACTCTTTGAGTGTGGCACAGAGCGTGGCAATCTGCTCAGCGCAACGTTCCAGCATGTTATTCTTCACATCAGCCTTAAACGGGCTGTAGAAGTCCTGAAAGGCATCCACATTATCCAGGGAGAAGACCTGGGCACATAGGACAGGCAACTTGAGGTTCAATCTACACATTACTCCTCTGATTAATACTATACTGGTTGTTTAAAAAAAACTACCTAATCTCAGATGATCCAAGGCCAGGATTGATTGCATTTGACAAGGGCATACATTAATACACTCTAGGCTTTGATAAAGTGTTTTAGTGTCCTGTGATGATTCATCTAGAAATTTCATTTAAAAGTATAATCATTTTGTTCAAGAGAGAGCACTCTGAATAGCTCCTGTAGCATTTTTCCCATTCTATCTTAATTTAGCCTATTCTTGCAAAGTTGTCATTTCACTTCAACACAACATATACATATATACATGCATATATAATGTGTATATA